GGAGGATAGGGAGGAGGGGTTTTCTTTTAAGGATTAGTTTTGTTGTAATTAGTATAAATATAATTACTTCGGTTATAAAATCCTAAATTTAATTAAGGGAGTTGGGTTTAGAAATATTCTAGGTACTAAGCGGGTTTATTATATATTTATTATTAACGGGTTTAGTAGCTACTATAATATAGAGGTCTAATAGTATACTAAAGCGTGTAAGAGGATAGTAGAGCAATACGCGGGTGCTGGCTACTATGTATATATTAAGGTTCTATGAAGAAAGAAAGGAGAAAACGCTACCCTCTAAGTAGGTTAAGTATTAGAGTTTAAATAGCTATACGCTCTAATAGTACCTTATAGTTTGAGGTAGCGAGAGAATGCTCTAGAAGCCCGGAGCGCTATAGTGCCGCGGTCCGAATCGATTAGGGCAATCTCAATACGAATTACCGTCTTAGTACTTAAATTTAACCAATCAGAGCTAAATACCTTATCGAGCGCTAATCCTATAATATTAGCCTCCCCCTTCTCCCTCTAACTATAGTCGCGTACTATAGTTAATATTTATATTACCCCTATTTTACCCCTCTATAATTTTTACTCTCTCTCTTACTCTTTTAATAAATAATTATAATTATATTATACGTATACCCTTAATTCTACTTTAGAATACCTTTAAATAACCGTTACTAACTTTTATTTTTAATATTAATTCTAAATAAAATCTTTTCGGGCTCTAACCTACTATTCTAATTCGCTATCGCCCGGCTATAATATTTATAGTCGTACCTATAGTTATTCCTATATTTACGCCCGTACTTACGCCCGCGCCCGTACTTACGCCTACTATTATTACTATGCTAATAGTTACTTTAGTCCTTATTCCTATACTTATTTCTATTCCTACTACGCTAAGCTCTCCTACGCCCCGGACCCCAAGCGGTAGTAGCGGTAGTAGAAATTGTAAATTTATTAAAATATTTATTTAAAGTACTATATCCGCCTAGTACTCCTAATATATAATATTAGGGAACTATAGTATTTACGTACCTAATAAGGGTAAAAATTACTATGTACCTTATGCGCGCCCGAAGAATTCGGGTATTTATTAATAGTAAGCTTCTATTGTTTAGGAGTAATATTCTACCTAATTAGTAGAGGGCTATTTAAATAGTAAAATTTTATTTTACGAATTCTTTTATTTAATAATAATTTCAGTTTGTAATTTCGAATAATTAATAGCCGAGGGTTATATAATTCTGTAAATATTCTTTGAATACCTCTATTCTATGTAATTACTAATTTAAATTCAAAGATACTACCTATTTTATATTTAATTACCCTGTTAGTAAAGCGCTGCCAACCCCCCTCTTTATTACTATAGTAGTTCCAATTGTAATTCCGGATATTTTTATATCTTTAATTTTAATTTCGATTATAATATTCGAAAGATTAGGGGCTCTAGAGGAGGACTTTTAAACCCTTCGTGCGGATTAGGGTAGTTTAGTAGCTTTGTAATTGTTATTATTCGCTAAATTGTTTCGGGCTAGCCGGAATTCGGTCGCTTTGGTAAATATTACTATAGAATTTATTTGGATTATTAAATACGTTATTGCTATAGCTACTATTTATTTAAATATCTTTATAATTAGGTTTAATACCCGGATAATTAAAATAATTTAAATTTTTTAAAATAAAATAGTAATTATAGTAATAGAAATTCTTTTTAATAAGGTAGCTATAGAATTAGAGATTCGTATTAGAAAGTTAAAGGAGTAGCGGAGGGTAATAGAAGGGGATAGGATATTACTAGGTAAGGAGGATTTATAGGTTCGTTTTAAATTATTATTGGGTAGGGAGGATTTATTAGTACTAATAGAAGAGGGGGTGGTAGAGGATAGGTTGGGGAATATTAGGGTACTAAAGGAGGAGGAGGTAATAGAAATAATAGAAATAATATAATAGGAGGGGGATATATTAGAAGAGAAGATAAGGCTAAAAAAAATAGTTCGGTTTTCGGATTCGGTAGAGGAAATTACCTTTCTTTTAAAGAAGAAAAAAAAAGTACAAATTTCCTATAGTAGTACTACTATAATATAATTATCCTTAAATACTATAATTAAATTGGGTACTAGGGCGGCGTTGGGTATTAGAGATTCTAAGTAGAATAAATTAGTAGAAGAGGCACTTTAGTTTTAGGTAGGTAACTATTTTTTTTACTTCCAAATATTAATTTTATTTACTTTTCTTACTTTATTAATATATTCTCTTTCGTAAAGTAGTTTATAGGTCCGTTGTTAATTCGAACGTCCCTGTATTATTTTTTAAAGAGTTTGAGCGCTTTAGTATTTTTAAAATCTTTAAGCCGGTATTATAAGGGTTTATAGTAACCCTTCTACTTTACGAAGACTATCTAATTAGTCGGGCTATTTTTAATATATAAAATCTTCTTTATATAATATTCCTTCTCC